TTGGATGTTCTCCACTCTAATGGAAGACCATCATTTTCTTGATTACTTTCATCATCTTTCTTTTCTTGGTTGTTATATTCATCCTTCTCAATTTCTATTGATTTATGTTGATCAACTCCTTCATCTTTATCTTTGAGTATGTCTTCTATATATGCACCTACACCATGAAAAGAACTACATTTCCCAAAACTATTTGGGGAAGTCTCATCAAAAGTAACATGAACCGACTCTTCATCAATAAGTAATCTTTTGTTATAAATTATATATGCTTTACTAGATTGAGAGTATCCAAGAAAAATACCTTCATCGGCTTTTGCATAAAAATTTCCAAGATTATCTTTTCCATTATTTAAAACAAAACATTTACATCCAAAGACATGAAGATGAGATAAATTTCGTTTTCTACCTTTTAAAAGTTTATAGGGGTTTTTTCAAGTATGGGACAAATAAGTATCCTATTCAAGACATAAATTTCCATTCTAATAGCATCGGCCCAAAAATATTTTGGTAGATCACAATCATTGAGCATTGTTCTTTTAAAATCCGCTAAGATACGACTTTTACGCTCCACAACACCATTTTGTTGTGGAGTTCTAGGAGCTGAAAAGTTATGTTCAATTCAAAATTTATCACAATATTCTTCAAAGAGGTGGTTTTCAAATTCACCTCCATGATCACTTCGAATGACAACTATTTTTAAATTTATTTGTTTTAAGCTAACATAGCAAAACGTGTGAAAGCCAAAAATGTATCATCTTTGCTACGTAAGAAAATAGTCCAACAAAATCTTTAGTAATCATCTACAATCACAAAACCATGGCAATTACCACCTATGCTTTTAGTCCGTGAGGCGCCAAATAGATCCATGTGAAAGAGCTCAAGTGGTCTAGATGTTGAAACAACATTTTTAGATTTAAAAGAGACCCTTGTTTGCTTACCCTTTTTCCTCTTCATCACTCTCGCTTGAGCTTTCATTGCTTGAGACATCACTATCACTATCCCAAGCAACATAGGATTGTCTAGAATTTCTAGAGTTGTTTTATTGACCTTTTCCTTTCTTCTTAGTGAGATATGGATAATCCGATCTATAATGACCTGTTTTTCTGCATTCGTAACAAATACCCTTTGCCTTATCCTTTTTGTTCTCTTCATCTTTAGAGGAAGAGGATTATCTTCTAAATTTAACAAGATTATTATCAGGGTGTTTGACACCATTCTTCTGAATGTACCGATTATATTCCCTTACAAATAATCCCATTTCTTCATCATCTGAATTCTCTTCATTGCTATAGTTACTATCATTAGTAGGCTCATCCCTTGAGGACTCTAAGCTTGAAGCATTGAGAGTATTAGACTTCAATACTTCCTCCTTAACAGCCCCTTTTTTACTTTTCCTTTTTCTCAAGCTTCTTTTCATGCTTATCCAAGCCATTGAGTTCTTGCTTGTGTTCTTCTAACTTTCCAAACATGGCGGTGAGACCGAGTGTTGCAATATTGTTAGCTTCCATGATAGTGGTGACCTTTGGTTGCATATTCCTAGTAAGACATATCAACACCTTGTTAGTATCAATAGCATTGTAAATAGGATTACCTAGTAAACTTAAATGATTAATAAGATAGGAGAACCACTTTTTCTTTTGAGAAATGGTTTCCCCTTGCTTCATGTGAAAAATGTCAAACTCTTGATTAATTGTATTAATTATAGCTTGTTTGACCTTATTAGGTCCCTCATAGGTAACTTATAGAGCATCCCACATAGCTTTAGCGGTTTGACAATGGGAAATTAGATAGAACTCATCAACACCAGGAGCGGATATGATGATGTTCTTAGCTTTCCAATCACGAGACCCCTTCTTATTATCATTCTCATCCCATAAGTTTTCCGACTTTGGTGCGGTAGCACCATAAACAACATATGTCACCGGTATTGGAGCATTTTGAATAGCTTCCCAAACACCTTTTTCATATGAGTTGACAGGAATTTGCATACAAGTTTTCTCAAAATGTCGTCTATACGAACATTATTGGAAACTCAGATATGTAAACTTAAAACAAATTCAATATGGAGTAAGAACAACAAATAGAATTAATATTCTTGAATCAGTTTACAATTTATTTAATGTTTATTGCAAGTTACTAGTAAATCTATTTCCAATGGCACTATTAAGAAGAACTAGCTCAATCAATTTATCAAACACTTGGTGTGCGAGTGAATTTTCAGAATTTTTCCTTTAGTTGTGTTGATACACAAAACCATGTATAATTAAAAGTGATTATAAGCTAAGTCAACACTTGATTTAAAATCCAAAACAGATCAGAAAATTTCTTACAATTCAATTGATAAAGCAATGCTATTTGACAAATTGATTTATGAATATCAAAGCAAGTAAAAGAAAAAATAAAAGATACACAAGAAATTTGTCTTCGCAGTTCCTCACTGTCATCCTTGTGTGTGGGTATGTCTGTGCCTAATTCCAATGGAATTAGGATAATTATTACTATGCAAAAAGTTCATACAAGAGAAGTGTTAAAGATAAACTTCGTAAACCCTAATGCTTATTGTTGATTCAACCCCTTCTCTTCTTCTGATATTGAGAATGACCAAGACACAAAAGATGTAAATTGACTATCTAGATCTTGCTACTCCTTTGTGTTCTTCATCTCCAAAAGTTTCACGCACTTTCCATTTCAATCTATTGCACCAAGGGACTTCAATTGTAATTCACCTTTCTCATGCTAATTCCTTTGTGTTATTTCTCTCCAAAGGATCCCTTGTGTTCTTTATCTCCAAAGGACTTCACTTGGCCATAATTTCCTCTTGATTTACTTGCACAAAAACCCCCAAATCAACCAATGATATTGGAGGACAAACTCTGTAATTTTTCCGGATGAAGACCCCAACAAAGCTCAACCCAATACACAATTGGACACTATCAATCCTCGTCTAGATGGCACCCTAACGGAATATCATCATAATATAATGTCAGTGAGTATGCATAGGTTAGAGGTTAAAGATGAAGATAAATTTAGGCTAATTTTATGGTATCACCAAGTTATGAATGATGCATGAATGAGCATTTATAATTTTGGAACTTTTAGGGAAAAAAGGGAAAATGTGGAATTAAAAATATTTTAAAATATTGACCAAATAATCAATATGTGTCGACCTGTATAGGTCTATATATCAACACATACTTAACTTTTATGTTGCATGTGTCGACTTGTATAGGTCTATGTGTCGATTGAATTGAGATAGAGGCTACAAGCTTTAAAATGCTAGCAAATGTGTCGACCTAAAAAACGGATGTGTCGACACATAAAATGATAATTTATTCAATTTTTAGAAATGCTTCAGTATGTGTCGACCTTTGAAATTCATGTGTCGGCCTAAGACTTACAGATGCTACAGACTTCAAAAATGAGTGACATGTGTCGACCTGAAAAGCGAATGTGTTGACACATGTAGTAGAAAATAATGCAGAAACTTGTTTTTTAATGACTTGGATTAATTTCAAAATGCTTTTTAATGATTCCTAAGACCTTTAATGTAGAGGATTTCCAAAATACATAAGGATAACGTCCAATATACATAAGTGCTAGATTTTCCATGTTTTGACATCATGCAAAACATCTGATGACGAAGTTGTACTCTCATATTCCCTCTTCTCTGAGAGAATTTTCCAAGAGTAATCATCATCACACATTCAAAGCAACAAATCTTTAAAGCTTCAACTTTCGGCCTTATTTTTTTTTTATTATCGCCATCCTTACATTTCAAAGTACTTTCTCTTCACTTTAGATTTTCATTCACGCATTTTCTTTATACTCATAACAATGAGAGATAACCCTATTAACATAGAAAGTGATTCAAAGGGTTTTGATTCTTCCTCTTCGAGAGGGATAGTGGAGCCTGAGTTGAATTCCCTTCTCTCTACTAGTAAGGATTTTGAATTAGAGACCACTTCTCTTGCCGATGATCCTGAAACAGAGGGAGTTTCTAGGGACTCTTTTTTTGAGAGATCTTTGTCAAGCGACACTCCAATAGTTCCATTTTTATGGAAAACGATGGGGGTGAGCATCCAGTTGAAAGATCAATTCCTCCTCTTGTCTTGACTGACATAGAAATAGAATATACTAAGTTAAGAAGGGAACTCACTAATAACTTCATTCAGTTTTGTTGAAGGAGGAACAATTGTGAGTCTAGCAATGCTGAGATCACGATTCATTTAGATTACCATGGAATGTCCCGTGTGGTATCTAGGATTTGTCTTGGCGATCACTTTAAAGATAATGTACTATAATGAAGTCAAATTTAGTTAGTTGATCCATTTAACACAAATAGATATAATTGGGTAACCACCAAAGTGGTTGGGACTCCTTCCTTCTTGAACACTAATGAGGTTATAACAAATGTTGATATTATGGTCGGCAACCCATCAGATTGGTTTATTCTCTTAATAGGCCCGGTGGAGAGGATATGAAACTCATTTGAAGGTTTCTTAGTCCTCTATACGAATGCCTCTTCACCAGGTTGGGTATACATTTGTCTTTTTCTGATTTTAAAGTGGCCTTAATGAATCATTTGAGAGTTGTCCCTCACAACTTCATACCAGAGCTTGGACTTTCATGAAGGTGTTCAAACTATGTGTTGAGCATTAGTCTTAGTAACCTTATCTAGATATGTTTTTTGACCTTTTTTTACGTGGCTTGCATATCCCGAGATGATGCTCGAGATCTGGGATTGATCTTTCTTCGCCCTCAAGTCCCTTGGTTTGACTTTTTCACCAATGACTGGGGTGACTTCCTTGAATTTTTCATGATGGTGAAACATGTTACTCCCGAAGCCCACTTTACCTTCTAATTGTCATAGAATTCGATAATATGTGCTCATTCTTGTAACAATGACTTTTCGTAGTACTGGTCTAGAGCTCATTTCCTGCAACCTCTTTTTTATTACCACTCTGGAATGTATCCTATATCCTCCAAGGAGGTGAAAATGAATGAGGATTTGTGTGCTAGGTATAAAAGGCTCGGCTATGAAGAGGGGTTTGGTCCTAACAAAGTACCCTCCTTATCAACAAAAAAAGAAGCCAATGGATACTTGTGCAGTTATCAGTGCACTCAGTCATGCTAAAAGGAAGAAAAGCTTTGGTGAGGACGGGGACCTAGGGCGCCCCTTTTTTAAGAAGTGTAACATGTGGCTTGTAGATAACATGTATCATTTGTAGAAGGTTCTCATGCTCTCTGAGTATCAAGGTCTTATGACCAACTTATCTGAATGGTTGATAGCGACTTCTGCTACTGCGAATATTCTTTCTCGGGTTGTTTGAGCCACAGTTATAGTTACTTCCCCGACATTAGTTGTGACTACTATGTCAGCTATAGCTCTTGAGGTGGAACAACTGAACACTGTAGTGGCCTACTTCTTTGTCCATGAGCCTTCACCTTCTCTTTCTCCTATCAAGAGGATCTGAGGTGATAGTCTATCTACTCTTGTTAAAAGAGGTTTTTCTAAAGGGGCTCATTTGACGGAGGGCGCTGAATATGAGGTTATTACTCAATTCTTTTAGCTTCATATTATTATTCCATCTCTGGTACTCAGTACCCCGAAGGACCTACTGGTACCCGAGTTTACTTATACCTTTTTCCAAAACAACATAAAATTTCCCCATAGGACCAAATGGTGCCCGTGATTTCTTATACCTTGAGCCAGGATAACATCAAATTCCCCTGGGTGTTGGGTACCCGATATGGAAGAATAGTAGGAACATGAAATAAAGGAGTAAGATCCTCTGACTCAGCATACTCCATGAAATGAGCCTGTTTGGAAGAACCTCATTCTACAAGAGCAGACAGACTATCATCCAAGATGCTCTAGATAGGAGAATAAGAGGATGAAGGCTCAGAAACAGAGAAGACAACCACCACAATAGTCAGTTATTCAACCTTGGAAGTTAATCCGAAATAGTAGTCCCAATCACTATCAGGCCAATAATCGTAACCAGGGCCCATACCACCAGAGTAAGAACAATTGCAATGGTAGAAGTCCTTATCTATCGACAAGATAAGCTAACCATCAGACCCTGATCCTTAGTGAGGGAAAGAACCTTCTACAACTGATCCATGTTATCTACAAGAAATAAGTTACACTTTTTACAAAAAATGGGCGCCCCTGGTCCCCATCCTCACTAAATTATTTTCAACCTGTTGGCATTACCGGGTGCATTGATAATTGCACAGGTATAAATTTTCTTCTCCTTTTGCTGAAAATGGGGTATTTCATTAGGACCAACCCCCTATTCATTGTCGAGCCCTTGATACAAAATGCACAAATCCTCTTTCATTTTCACCTCCTCAAAGGATAGAGGACACAACCCAAAGTGGTAAGAAGAAATAAGCCGACAGAAATTAGCTCTAAACCAGTACTTTGAAAAGCCAATCTTACAAGAACTAGTGCATCCCACCAAAGCCAAAGACAAACAAAAGTAAAATTGAACCTAAGGAGTAACAGGTTTCACTAGCATGAAATATTTAAGGAAGTCACCCCAGTCATTGGAGAAAAATTCAACCCAAGGGACTTGAGGGCAAAGGAAGATATCCATAATCCTGGGCTTTGTCATGAGAGGAGTGGGCCGCATAAAAAGATCTAAAAAGATCTCTAGAGAAGGTTCCCAAGACTTATGCTAAAATAGATTTAGAACACCTTCATGAAGCTCCAGCATGAAGTTGCTAGGGGAAATCTCTCAAACAATTCATCACGACTAATAGCACTGGAACACACTACGTATTTGACTCGGATTACACATGTTTATTAGAATATTAGTGTATTTTCTTGTGTTTTATTTTGTTTTTGTCTTATTTTCATATGCTTTGCTTACCTAGAGCCCTTTCTTGAAGAAACAAAGCCAAAAGCCCAAGAGATTAAGTTTTTTGGTGAAAATGTGCACATGGAGTTCAACATGGAGGCCGCCATAGAAGGAGCCATGATGTGTCTTCTTGTAACTACCAGGAAACTACCATGATCCTACGATCTTGTACATCAGTTCAGACGGAGGGCGGTATGGAAGGGACTACGGGTGTCGTCTTTGTTATTTTTGTCCCGCCCAAAAGGAGTTCGAGCGTAGTTTTGTAATTCCAATGTTTTCGTTTTTTTCTATAAATAGTTGTTTGTAATTTCTTTTCAAATCATCCAACTTAGTTTACAACACTAATCCTAAACTCACCATTTGTAAAAGCGGTAATTCGTCACATCGGGGGATTATCGCACCGTAGTTGAGATTAGGTTGGAGCACTTGTACATTTAATCTTACCGCCATTTTCTTTACAAGTCAATGTTTAATTTCCAGTTTGTGCCACATTCAAGTCTTCAATTTGGAGCAGGTTTTATTCAGTTTTCGCACTACCTTTATTTACTTCGCACTTTCCTTATTTTGTTTATTTTCTCGCACTTGCCTTATTTTGTTTATTTTCTCATACTTTCCTTACTTTATTTACTTTCCTGTTTTTTCCTTGTCTACTTGTTTATTACATTGCATACTTTACTCGCCTTTTAAGTTTTATAATCTATTTTAACATGATCAATGTCAACATGTATGTTTCTTTTTCCATGTCTGGCTAAGTCTTTTAAGGTTAGAATGTAAGGATCTCCAGTATGATAATAATCTATATATTGTATCTGTAGAAATACTTTACTGGTTGTTTTGATTTTTAATACAAGTTTTCAGTACTAAATTTCATTAGGTAAGATTGAAAGCCGTCTAATTCTCAAAGTTAAACTTGGTTAATTTTAACTGTCCAAAGAGGGCGAAAGCACTTTGTCCAGTTAATTAGAAGTTTTAACACTGTTAGAAAACGATTTCGAAACTATCTTCAGACACTTTTATAGGTTTAAAATCCGATTCCTTAAGCGAAATCCATGGATCCCTTTTAAGTTAAAAACTCTAAATCAAAATCACCTTTTTAACTAAGTCAAGAGTCCAATTTCTTAAAAATACGTTTACTATTTTAGCGCAATACACACATTTTATAATTGAAAATATAAGGCATTAATTAGAGGATAAACTCGGTTCTGAATAAATGAAAGCGACAGTTCCCGTTAAATTGATTATTTTCATAAGTAAAATATAGTTCCTCATAAGTTGTTATATTTAGAAACAATCGGAGTATTATCTAACTGATGTGAATTACATTCGAGCATGTCATTTTATTCTGAATTTACATATCTTTTTATTATTTCATTTTACTGTGAACTCCCAAACATTGAGTTGATCCGTCTTAGATAAACACCATAGCAGTAGAAATAAATAGAGTTACATGTGGTCTCTATGGGAATGATAATCTTTTGTATTACTCTGATTAGATTTGTACACTTGCGAAAACCATGCATCAAGTTTTTGGCATTGTTGCAGGGGACCAACTTCGTCAAATTTCGTACCCTATTGTTACACCATCTATACTAAGGCTTTGTTATCCAGTAAATGCAAAGAAGTCGCAGTACCAGAAGTTTAGTATATCCTATAGAGGAACATGAACGCTACGCCCACGCACGTCTCTTACTTCATCAAGTTAGGAGAGAAATGGCCGAAGATCATAATCAAAGACCCCTTAAGGAATTCGCCCAACCATCTGATGAGGAACCCAGTTCTAGTATAGTGAACCCATTTATACCTGCTAATAATTTTGAACTAAAACCCTCTTTACTACAATTAGTACAACAAAATCAATTCGCAGGCCTCACTACAGATAACCAGAATCAACATTTAAAAGTTTTTATCCAGTTAGTCGACACCTTTAAAACCAACGGTGCTACACCTGAGGCGATTCATTTAAGACTATTCCCTTTCTCCCTCAGAGATAAAGCACGCTCCTGGTTAGATTCCCTTCCAGCCAACTCCATAACAACCTAGGAAGACCTCAGGAGAGTGTTCCTTGATAGATATTTTCCCCCAAGTAAGAGCGCAATCCTTCGAAATCAGATCACCAGATTTACTCAAAATCAAGGAGAATCACTTTTTAAAGTTTGGGAGAGATATAAAGAACTATTAAGAGCTTGCCCACACCATGGCCTAAAACAATGGTTGATCATTCATACCTTCTATAACGAGCTCCATTATAACACTAAGATAACCATCGATACTGCCGCTGGCTGCGCACTAATGAATAAACCCTACCGTGAAGCATGTGCTCTCATCAAATATATGGATCAAAACCATTACCAATAGGGAGCAGAGCGAGGAACAGTAGAGAAAAAGGAGAACCTAGGAGGAATTCAAGAGATAAATTATATGGACATGATGCAAGCCAAAATGGATGCTCTAGCCCTGAAAGTCAAACACATGTCTACAAACCCTGCCACTGCAACTGCAGCCCACCCAGAATGTGAAATATGTGGAACCAAAGGACATCAAGTGGCAGAATGTAACTTATTAAATGAGTCGAACATAAACTAGGTCAACTATGCCTAAGGAAACCCATCTTCGAATACTTACGACCCTGGATAGAGGAATTACCCAAACTTCTCCTATAAAAACAATAACCTTATTCAAAATTATGCACCTCAAAGACCACAATATTTTCAAGCTCAAAAACCAAACCAACCTATGCAAGTTGTGCCCCCAAAATCGAACCTTGAGAAAATCATGGAAAGTTTCATTTTGGCATAAACTCAGCAAAACAAAGAATTCTTGAACTAGAACATTCATGTAAATGAATTGATCACTCAGTTAGGAACTAAGGCTGACCAGATAATGACTCACAATAAGATGCTTGAAATTCAGATCTCACAGGTAGCTCAAACACAAACTGCCTAGACTACACCTAGAGGGCAGTTTCCTGGACAACCTCAACCTAACCCTCGAGGGCAAGCTAATGCCATTACCTTACAAAGTGGGACCACTTACGATGAACTTGTTAACCCAACATCAAATGAATTTGAATCTTATAAGAAAAATAATATGCCCACATACCAACTAGAAGAATCAATAGAACCAGAAAAACCAAGAAGTGAAAGCTAAATATAAAACTTATACACCACCTCCCCATATAAACCACTGATTCCATATCCGCAAAGACTTAAACAAACCAAAATTGAAAATAAATATAAAAAATTCATAAATATAATAGAGAAACTCCATGTAGAAATTCCTTTCACCGAAGCCATCACCCAGATTCCATCTTATGCAAAATTCCTCAAAGACATCCTTATACACGTAGGCTTGACGATCTCAAACCCTTAGAATGCAACTCCATTTTTGAAAATAAACTTGCTAATAAGGAGAGAGACCCTGGAAATTTTTCCATACCTTGTGTTTTAGGGAGTCATGTTATCGACAAAGCATTTTTAGATTTAGGTGCTAGCGTAAGCCTAATGGCTTTATTAGTTTGGAAGAGGTTAAACTTAGGAGAATTACAGCTGACTATGATGTCTCTTTAATTAGCTGACAGATCTGTTAAATATCCAATAGGCATATTAGAA